GCGCCCTCGGGCCACCCCGCCGACCCTCGGCGTTTCCAGGGTCTCCCCCCCACCCACTCCCGCCAAATACAGGGACCCCCCTCATCGGGCCGGGCTCTGTCGGGATGACCGAACAAAAACGCACAATTTCTCCTTTTCCCCCCTTTACCCAGTAACTCAGCCTCAAGGCCTGGAATCACACGGAGAGGAGGGAAAAGGCCAGCCCCAGTTCTTGGTACAAAACCATGAATTTAGCCATTTTAAGCTGATTTTGTGAGAACTGAAGAATTGGTGTTTTTTTGTTGTTTTTTTTAAAAACCTGTGTTCCTGAAACCTAGATAGTTTTTGTTCCAAACTTGGATAGAATGAAAGGTACTCAGATAAACCCTTATTTTAATCCTTTGTTACTGTCTCTAGAAGGGATGTAAATACATTTATTTAACCCAGAAATTACCAAAATTTAAAAAAAAATAGCGATTTGATGTAGTAATATTTGATAATCTGTGGAAGGTGCCCATTTCTTTAGAAAAGGAATCTGGAAGAGGAGAGAGAGAAAAATACTTAATTTTTACAGATAATAAGTCTCCCTTGTTAAATTCTGAAGCTTATGGCTTTAAGAAGGAGTTTTTTGATTAATTCTAGTTGTCTTTTTACTGTCTTGCTCCTGAAGAGAATATTTGTAATCCTCTTGAATTTTTTTTCCTGTTTATAAATTCGACGAAATGAAATTTAAAATTCTACTGCGTTCCAATAATTTTGAAATTTCTCTTAGGGATTATGGCTGATATGCATTTTGTGGCAGCAAGCCTTGGGCCTTTCTTAAATTTTGTAATAGCCACGCCTAGTGTTGGGCATATGGTGGTTATCTTAAAGGTATTGGAGATTGTAGAACTTAGTTATTTAACATTGGAGTAGCTGTGAAGATTTTTTTTTTTAAGTATGCACATGTGTAAATTTTTTATGTTTTTATTACTGATTTGAGAGAGAGAATCATCAATTGGCTGCCTCCTGCACGCCCCCTACTGGAGATAGAGCCGGGAACCCGGCATGTGCCCCGACCAGGAACTGAACCAGTGACCTGGGTGCATGGGATGCTGCTCAGTCAACTGAGCCACACTGGCCAGGGCCGCTGTAAAGATTTTTAAGCACTGTAGTCTATTTAATTAATGAGTGTCAGATCTATATTGAAAAGTTAAATAGGTTACCCTTTGCATAGTTAACTAATAATAATGTCTTTTTCATGATTGGACTATAAAGGACAGGTTTAAAAAATGCAGTGTGTGGAATCCACCAACACCATGAGGTAGATATTAATATCTCCATTTTCAAGAAAATGAAGGACTAATTGAATGTTCTAGGTCACAAAAGCTAGTCAGAAAGCTGAGCTGGGATTTTCATTTGAAAGTGGATTTCATTCCTAGGAAAAGTATTTACTATTCTGAAATGCACGCATCTGTCTGTCTGGAGTGTATTTTGCTACTTATAAAGTGTTTCTGATATACAGTATAAGGAATATGAAGGCGTTTGGCTTACGAATAATGTGATAGATATACTGTAGATTCTGTTGATAAAGCCATACGTGACAGGGACTCTGTCATAAGTTTAGTCCAGTTTTATTTTCTCACCTTCATTTACAGATGAGGAAAGAGTTAACGTCTTCAGTTTTCCCCAATTTAACAAATGACACTACACCTTAGATGCTCAAAACTTAAACCCTGAAGTATTTTTTACTCCACTTTTCTTCATAATCCTCATCTAATAAATTAGCAAGCTCTCTTGACTTTTTACTTTACCCTCCTAAATAGATCTCACATATGTTCAATTATTTCCATTCCCACTATGGTCATCAAGTCTCAAGTACCTAGCCCTGAAATTTTGTGTTTCCCATTTCCAGCTAGTCTCCCTGCTTCCATGTGTGCCTTCCTGCATTCCATTCTCCACAGCTGCCATGATTTTTTTCAATCCTTGTCTGCGGATATGTCTGTTGATTTTCAGAGAGAGAGAAAAACATCAATCGGTGCCTCCTGTGCCCGCCTCGACCAGGTATCAAACCCGCAACTTAGGCTGGGAATTGAACCTGCAGTCTTTTGGTATATGGACAGTGCTCCAACCAACTGAGCCACCTGGTCAGGGCAGCTGCCATGGTTTTTTAAAAATGTAAACCAAATGTCTCTACTTAGAACCCTTCAAAGGTTCTTTATTACATAATGAATAAAATCCTTCCTACCCTGAAAACCCTATGGGTCATTCTGCCTCTCCAACCTTACTTTTCAATCACTTAGCTCACTAAGCTGAGCCCTACAGAACTTTTCTCTTCCTTAAATACTCAACACTGTCCTTGCTTCCAGTATTTACCTCTGTCTGGAACTCTTCCAGATTTTCACAAGGCTTCCAGATCTCAGAATGTCACCTCCAAAGGGTTCCTTTCTCTCCACACCCATGTCACTAAGCAGGCATTGGGTGAATGAGCGGAAGTGACAGGACTAGACTTTGACCCCTCCTTCATCTGATTCAAGAGGTCATGAAGCCATGTAATGTTTCTTCCCCTTTCTGAATACTCAGATCAGTTATCTCAATACATATATTTTCCCATATTGTTTAGGGATATTTGGCTTGGTCATTGAAAAGCACTGAACTAGTTGAAAGACCAGGAATTAGTGTTTTACAGTCTACTTTCAGCTTCCTTTCATATAAAAGTGTGGTACTTTTTTTATTTTGCAGTATTGTTAAAGTATATTACATAATTTCACATTTTAAAACTAAATCTACAGCCAGCATCCAGGTTTTGGAACCAATAAAATGAACCAGAGTTTCTGGGAGAAATAACTGATACTAGGGCTGGAGCAGGGAAAATACAAGAAGAGCCTGGAATATCCTGTGCCAGAAAGTAAGGGATGCAGCAAACACAAAACAATGGAAGTATGTCACATGGACATGAACTTAAGTGGCAAAGCTGGAACAAGCTGAGCAATGACAGAAATAATGTAGTATTAGATTATAACCCAAAGTCCAGGAGTCTCTATCTTTATGTTATAAATCTATATATACACACACACACATATATACTTTTATCTCACTTCCCAAATGAGATAGTGGAAAGACACACTGAATTTACATTCAAGAAGAGTGATCTGCCCTTAACTACATGTAAAATCTTGGGCAAGCCACTTAGCTAAGATTCAAGTGTCCTCATTTATAAAAATAAGGTAATAATACCTCTCCATTGTACCTCAAAAGGCTGTGAGAACCAATTGTTTGGAAATAAATTGGAAATTGGAAACTTCTAAAAAATTATAAGGTGTTTGAATCATTAGTTCCAAGTTTGAAGCACTGTTCATATTCCAGTGAAATTGTATGAAAGGTATTCTATAAGATAGGCTCCCAGTAACTGGGTTTTAAAGACAAGTAGGAGAATACCTTTGAAAAGAATTAAATGTTTCTGAAGTACAATTTTAGGCTTCTCTCTTTAGGCAGCTAAACAAAGTAAGAAGTATCTTTGTAGGTGGCTTCTACAGATTAAGTCTGGTCACACGTAAATTATACTTAATTCTTAACTTGAGACAAAAATAACTTTCTTGGAATATTTTACTTTTTCTGGGTGGAAGAGAAGCACTCAGAATAATTCATTCAAGTTAGGGTTAATTTGGGGATTAGGATTTATATACTCTTTATTTTACTTTTCATGTCCCAAACTCAGCTTAAACCTAAATTTTAGGGTTTAGTACAAGGTTTAGTGGGATCCTAGAGCACATACTGTCTTTCAGTGTGTTAGTCATTGGAAATTTAAAGAGAGTCTTTACCTATAAGATTACTCTATCAACATGTCCTCTGGTACTTTGACAAAAAGGTTTTGCTTTAAATAAAAATGGTAAAATTATTATGAAGAGATTACCATTATTTAATGTAGATTAAACATACTGACTGGTATATACATTTACTTACAGGAGAAATTGTTAGCTACCTATGATTGGCTTGCAGGGGTCGTAGTAGATGGGGAGTACACTTGAAGCATACACTGTTCATATGCTCTGCCCTCAAAAACACTAAGCAGTTTTTCAGAGCCCATCACTATATTCCTTGCCAGTGTAGTCCCTCTTTCACTCTTTTTTAATCAATATAGACTCTAAAAGTCAAATGTAGTTATACAGATCTAAGAACAATCTGTTTTGAAGTACCCTTTTAAGAGTGAGAGAGATATATATATAAATAAATTAACATTTCCACATATTTTCAGTAAACTTGGATAATTTCACAGCTACTTAGGCAATATACAATGCTAAGAGATGCAAAGTAGTTAAATTTTTTTTTATTGATTTCAGAGAGAGGAAGGGAGAGGGAGAGAGAGATGGAAACATCAATGATGAGAGAGTCATTGATCGGCTGCCTCCTCCACGCCCCTTACTAGGGATGGAGCCCGGAACCCGGGCATGTGCCCTGACTTGGAATCGAACCAGAATCTCCTGGATCATAGGTCGATGCTCAACCACTGAGCCACGCCTGGCCAGGCAAAGTAGTTAAATCTTATATCCCAATTTAAGTAGTAAGGAAGGAGATGTTGAAATTTTGCTATTAAGTAAATGTGTTATGTTCTTTTTATAGGTTGCAAAGAAAGTTCCACTCTTTCTGTCAAAATGAAGTATGATTTTAACTATAACCATGCTCATTCTGGACTGGTAAAACCTGATGACAGTGGAAGGATAGATTCCTACACTTCTGCTTCTTTGGATGGTACTTATAAAGACTGCATTAAAGACTACAAAAAATTATCAGATGTCAGGTCACCAATTGTGAACCCCAGGATTGTAGAACTTGAAGATGAGAGCAAACCATTGCATAACAAGGAAAATCAACATGTGCAACCGACACTTAGTAGTTCAAGTGAAGTAGAAGAACTAGAAACCAGTGGACCTTACGAAGACAGTGGCTATTTCTCATTTTCCCAAAAGAGTGGCCTTGATGAACAGGAAGAGGCTAGCCTTCCTCTGGAAGAAAATTTCAGTGACAGTCCACAGTCTTGCCTGCTGCAGATTCAAAGCCCAGACCAGAATCCCAAGAAAAACTTGCTGCCAGCCCTTCATTTTGCAAAAGTTGTCTGTTCAACATTAAAAAAGAATTCCAAACGAAATCATAAAATAGATTGGGAGAAGCTGAAGGAGTATAATGGAGGTTCTAGACTACAGCAAATAATTGGCAGAAAAATGGGCCTAGAATGTGTAGATATTCTAAGTGAACTCTTTCGAAGGCGACTCAGACATCTCTTAGCAAATATTTTAGCACAGCTCAGCGATATGGACTTAATCAAGTAAGTATTGTTGCTTCAAGTGTATTAGTATAATACACTAATACTGAACGGGTTCATTAGATGGTTCAGCACCAATAGTTCAAACAAAAATGAGAGTCTTGCATTGTTGTTTCATTGACATAATGACTTGTCTGATTATTAGTACTTTACTACCTGTGTGCCATTAAGATGAAAGAAAGATAACTTTTAAAGTATGCATTTAATCCAGTTATTTCAAATATATTTATGCTATTAGAAAACTATTTTTGTTAGATTGGGATCTTTGTTTCTGTGGGTTTTGAAATTTTTGTTATGTGAGCTACATCTTTTTCACTTAAGTATAAAACAACAGTCTAGTTCTAGTGTACAGGTCTAATAAGCATTGTGGCTTTTGTTGCACTTGAAATATGAAATAATTTCTGGTCTTTTTTAGGCTTTTTTTTTTTTTAATATGCTTCCATTGATTTCAGAAAGAGGAAGGGAGAGGGAGAGAGACAGAAACATCAATGAAGAGAGTCATTGATTGACTGCCTCCTGCACCCCCACACACACACCCGGATCGAGCCTGCAGTCTGGGCATGTGCTCCGACTGGGAATCAAACCTCCATCCCCCACTTCATGGGTTGACGCTCGACCACTGACCCACACTGGCCAGGCATAGGTCATTTTTAATGTAGGACTCTCCTAGGTTTGACAGTAATGAAGATACAGTGGCTCAAAATGGGTCCAATTATGACTATTTCTTATAAAGTGTATGCTAACTACCCTTCCTCATTCCATCAAAGAAAATCAGTTAGGGTGAGGTATCTATGAGAATTAAGATGCGTAGACAGACTCCTGGGAAGTATTGATTTTTATTGTTGGCTTGCTTCTTGAGGGATAATCAACATTGGTATCTACTAATAACAGTGTGTACTAGAGTACTTTGAAATCTGTCTACAACTTTTACCAAATAGCTGACGTGGTGCCATATATACAGCAGTGGCTACTTAATTGATGTTTGCAGATAATTGTACAAAATTAAAGTAAAAATCAGTAGTTCTTAAGCCTGGATCCACTTAGAGTTACTTGATGGGGAACTTTTTTAAAAATACAGAACTCTGGCCACCACTTTAGACCAATTAAACCCAAATGCTAGGCATGAGGCATCCTTAAATCTTAAGAGCCCTGGGCAATGCTAATGTAAAGTCAAGTTTGAGAAGCACTGCTAATAGAAATTTCTTTTTGCACTGTTAAAATGTCTCTAATGTTTTCATCTTAGCTCTTTGTGATGCTTTAATTGTGTCCTTCATAATCATTTACTTTTCCAGTGTGTCTAAAGTGAGCACAACTTGGAAGAAGATCCTAGAAGATGATAAAGGGGCATTGCAGCTGTACAATAAAGCAATACAGAGAGTTACTGTAAGTCTTTGCAACTGATGGTTTCATTTTAAAATATAGCAGTTAGTGCTCTATACCATTAGAATTAGGAGGGAATAGGAAAGATAACAGGTAATCTGAAAATCCTTTACATTCAAAATGTTTCAAACTTTTACTAGAACTCATAAAATTTATAGGTAAAGGGAAAGGAATCCCACCTCAATCATTTATTCCTAGAAATGGAACATCCAAAGGTAAACAAGGGAAAATTACTTGGTTCTCAGTGTATTTTGATCAGATAGCTAATCTAGGTTGCCATTTTTATTTTTTCAGTTACCAGATAAATGGTAAATTATTTACATTCTGAAGATTCTTAATATAGAAGAGAATTAATTTACTTTCAAAAGTACTTCAAGATTGACATCTGTAATACTCCCAAAAATACTCTCAACAATAAAATTTAGTGAATAAAATTATGGAAAAAAAATACTTCAAAATCAATATATAATTAAAATTTTAGACCTAGCAGTTGGCAGACATAGGTCCAAGTTTCGGTGCTCCTCCTTACTAGCTGTGTTACTCTAGTATTGCTTTAATTCTCCAAGTTTAATTTCTTTATTGATAAGCTGGTGTTAATGGAAACTTTTCTAATCTAGAAGATAGTATTGAATCTATTGATGACACTGGGGTGACACTTAAACATGACTATTGCCATCTACTGGTAGGAAGAAGAACTTCTGGCAGTACTTTATAAATCATGTATTAAAGACTAAGCATGTCAAGCACTCACAATTTCTGGTTTGTAATTTCTGCCAGTAACTTAGTTATTAGGCTTTAAATGTTTATGTGAATAGTTTGGTGTGGGTGTTTAAGCATATGTAGGTAAATTGAAGTCCTATTAAAACTGTGTGTTTTTTTTTAATTAGGAAAAAAACATTAAGTTTTCATCTGATGCTTTGACCAGAGAGTATGTTATGTTCAGAACCTCATTGGCTTCTGTTCAGAAATCGGCAGCCCACACTCACCCCAGAAATGATGCTCCAAGCAAATTATCCGATCCATCTGATCAGAAAGGTTCTTCTTACAGTCGGCACAACGAATTCTCTGAGGTAATTTTTTGTTTATCAATAAATTAGGAACATGTGGGGCATTTATTGTTAAAAGGATTTAGAGTAAGAAAGGGAGAACTTTACATTTAATCATAGCATAGTTAGAACTATTAATAGAGACCTTATCTTCTGTCTCCTTCATTCTACTCTCAAAAGTGTTAGAAATTAAGAAACCGTTTATAACTAAACTAATAAATTGGGAGATTACAGAGATATCTTTCTATGCTGAAAATAGTAGATACCACTTGGCATTGTTTATGACAGTTTGGTGATGTTGAAATCTAACTTGGAAACACTAAGAAAAGAATAGACTGCCTTGATTTTAAAATTGTAAAACTGTTGAAGATTATATTCTGCAACTGCCGCCTTTGATATCTGAGTAAGAGCTAAGCAGGAAAAGGCCAACTCTCAGAAATAAAGCTTCACATCATTGGGTAATGTGTATTATGAAAGTTCTCACATGGATAATTTTACAAGCTTAATTTGAAAACCATAGTTAAGTGCATGTTTTGAAATAAAATGTTGACCACCCCATTTGTTGGTTGATAAATATTTGACCAACAAAATTTAGTTTTCTCTTTATTACGTAATGACTAATACAACATAGAAGTTTATTCAAAAAGCATTTTTTGAGCATCTGCTATCTTATCAGGTACTACGCAGATAAGAAAACGTGGTAGTAACCTTCATAGCCTTATAATCTAGAATGAAAGATAGCCTCATTAAAGAAAATATATAGTATGGTATGTGCTTTAAGAAAACAAAAGCAGAGGTAAAAGAGCCGCCAGCTCCCGAGTGACACTAGAAGACTTCACAGAAAAGGTGGCCATTTAAGTTAGGCGTTGATGTGTGATGTGAGTAGAGGTCGTGAAGGGAAAGAACACATTTAAAAGTAGCATTAGGAAATCGATACTGAACCAGCTGATAGGTTATATTATCTCTTGTGCGTTGAACAGTAAGGTCCTTCAGGGCAGGAGTTCTCTTATGTGTGACATTGGTTCTTTATGCATGTATTGGGGAGGGTATAGAAGTGCCATTGTTTTTCCTGAGTTACATTCAGTCTTTACTAAAATGTTTGTGGATTTTCTTACTAGGTTGCCAAGACTTTGAAAAACAATGAAAGCCTCAAACCCTGTGTTCGCTGTAACTCACCTGCAAAATATGATTGCTATTTACAACGGGCAGTCTGCAAACGAGAGGGCTGTGGGTTTGATTATTGTACGAGGTGTCTGTGTGACTATCACACCGCCAAGGACTGTCTGAACGGCAAGCCTCTAAAGGCCAGTTGTAAAATAGACCCTCTGCCGGGTACTAAGAAAAGCAAGAAGAATTTACGACGATTATGATCTCTTATTAAAATATCTATTAACGTATCGTGAAGGTTAGTCAGAAAATGTTAGGTTTTAATTTAAATTAATAGAATAAATGTATTGTGATTTTTCAATTTTATGTTGAAATCAATGTACTACATGGGATTTTTTTCCCACCTGCCAAGTAGAGGATGCATAACCTCTTAAAATATTTTAAAATATAATGTGAAAAGGTTCAAAGTTCTCAGTATAAATTAGAAGATTTAAATATTTTAAGAAAAGAAAAATAGTCATCTGGTGTTTGTTTCAGAGAGAAAATAAAATTTATCCAATTTTATAGTAGTAAAGGAAGGCCATGTAATTTTACCTAGACAATCTTAAATATAAATTTTGTTTGCCATCTATTATCATTTGAGACATTTTATTTGCCTTACCAAATTATATCTATTGAAATAGCAACTTCTGGAGTGTTAATTTAAATGTTTTGTCACCTTTCTTTAATCTCTTTTCAGTGTATATTTCCAAGTGTCCTTTGTGAAATCCTGTTTCTCTTATTTGTAAAGTCTGTATGTTTTAATATTTTTGTAAATATGTAAATTTCTATTTTTATGAAAAGATAATAAATATGACTTGTATATACATGTAAAAATAAATTTTGTTTTTGTTACGAATAAAATTAAAACAAAATAATAGATAATATTAGTTATTTTTATAAACGCCTTCATCCTTGAAACAGCTGACCTGGGGAGCTGTAGGAGACTCCCTGTGCGTGCGCCTACTCCTTGGTGGTGCGTGTTCACTCCCAGGCCCTACTCACTCAGTTCCTCCTCGCTCACAGTATCTTAGCTCTCCAGTGGGTCTTGAAAGTCCATAAAACACTTTGAGAAGTACTTACACGTGGATTTACTTATCACTACACCAGCTAAACTGTGGCGTGAATGGCCACAAAAAATGCAAAAATCATACTGGAAAGATTAAGTATGTAGAATAAAATTTCCCCTTTTTCCCCACTGACCCCCCTCTACCCTGCACCTGACCCCCCCGACCTTCACCCCACTATTGTCTGTCCAGGGGTTATGCATATAAGTACTTTAGTTAATATCTTTGAATCAGAGTACTGTTTGGGGTAATAATGAGAAACAGATATTTTCAAAATTTCTTAAGTCTAACGAAGTTCTTATTGCAGTTATAAATATGGAGCGATTATAAGTTTGAATTCAGACAAAAAGCCTAAAGATTTAAGGTGTGCGCCTCATATCCTCTCAGTAGGTCCTCAAGTTTACGGGCTTTGATCTTGCACAATCAGAAAGTTTCCTTATAATTCACAGGGTTGCCATTTCTAGTCGCATTTCCTTTGTGTAGAAAAATAGATCTGATAGAAGGGCTTTATTTAATTTTAGAATACAGATTTGCTGGTCTTTAATTCTTTTAGCCTTTGCGTGCCTAAAAACATTTCCTCTTATTTAATATGGAGAATTTATTGTGTCAAATGGTATGGTGGGTTTTGTTTTGTTTTTTGAGATACAATTCACATCAAAATTGACTATTTAAAATATAAAATGCAGGTTTTGGGGTTTGTTTTTTTAGTATATTCATAAAGTTTTGCGACCTCTATTTCTACAAAGTTTTTGTCACCCCTTCCCCCCCAAAAAAACCCGTAATTCCATCCCTTAATATCCCCAGCTTCTGGCATTCACTAATCAACTTTCTGTATATTTACCTATTCTGAACATATTACATAAATGAAGTACAGTAGGTGGCGTTTTGTGTCTGGCTTCTTGCACTTAGTGTGTTCAAGTTTCATCCATATTGTAGCACGTGTATTTCTTTTTGTTACAGTGACATTCTGCTATGTGGATAAACCACATTTTGTTAATAGACACTTGAGTGATGCTTCTATGAAAATTCATATATGTTTTTGTCTGAATATGTTTTTTTATTACCTTGGGTTCACGTAAGAGTGAATTGCTGAATCGTATGGTAGCTCTATATTTAATTTTTTTGAGGAACTGCCAAATTGTTTTTCACAGCAGCTGCATTATTTTACCAGCAATGTGTCAGAGTTCTAATTCTTTATCATCTAGATGACCTTTATTTTTCTTGTCTAAAATTGCCCTGGCTAGAACCTCTGGTGAACAGAAATGACAAAAGGGGGCCTCTTTAGCTTGCTGAACTTAGGACACTCCCCTGCCTGTGCAGCCGTGTAAATTGGATGTTTGGGAGACATGAATTTCCCCTTTAGTGTACAAGCCTTTAGACTGAAAGGAGCCAGACTTGAGGAGGTGTAATTCAGGGACATACCCGAGAAGCCTCATCTATACCCCAGGTCGGATTTAAGTGATAGGATTCCGGATTTTGAGCTGAAGCTATAATGGAATGAGACTTTCAAGAGTTTAGGGAGAGGGTAGACCGTGTTAGCCAGCCTCCAAAATACTGCCAATGACCCCAACCTCTTGGTATTCACACCTCTGAGTAATCCCCTTCCACGCCGCACGGGGATCGGTCTAGGTGAGGAGCAGAACACAGCGAAAGTGAGGCCTGTCTTTTCTGAGACCAGGTTATAAAAGACGTGAGTCCTACCTCTCCTCTCAGATCAATCACTAGAGGAAGATCAGTTGTAAGCAGCCTACAGGGAGGCCCACATTGTGAGAAATTTAGTCTCTGGAAAGTCCCAAGAGAAGAACTGAGGCTCCTGCCCACCGCTAAGTCTGTGAGTCTTCAAAGTAGGTCCTCCAGTCAAACCTTCAGACAACTTTTGTCTGCCAGCATCCTGAGTGCAACCTGAGTCACCCAGCTAACACTGCTGCCGAATTCCTGACCCCTCCCCAAACTGTGAAATAATAAACGTTTCTTTTTTTAAACCTCTAATTATGCAGTAATAACTAATACGATGTTGATTAGCTGTGCTAATTATTGAGATGATCAGGTCTTCCCCAGGACTCTGAGAATGTAATAATTTGGCTGGTAATCACTGCAGGGTGATAATCCATCTTGCAGCTGCAGAATGTTCCCTAAAAAAAGAACTGACACTCCCAGGCCAAACTAGATTTGGGACTGATATAATCACAAAATGGACTATTTAACATCAGCCATATAAGGGAAGATGAATAACAAAGATGTTAGTATTTCCATGGCTGCTGTGAAATATACGGTATTTTAAAAAATGATTCTTTATTGTTAAAGAAAGTCACAGTACTAGCGTAAAGCTTACTAAAATGCCTTTCTTTGTGTTATGGCATCCAGGGAACCCTTTTATGTGTTATAGGTTAAATAAAGTTTATCTCAAAAGATGCCTTACCCGGTCCATGTCGTGGCAAGAATACATGAGTTACATTCAGTAGGACTGATCCTGGTTACTGGAGCTAGTCACCAAAATGATTTCATTTACATAACTGCTCTGATCAAAGCAGTAAGCAGCATGCATCTGCGCATGGCCCTTCCTGGCCACCCGAACATGGTGCTGGGACCAACTAATATTTCTGATCAGTCGGAGTGACCATATAATAGCAAATGCTGCTTCTTTGAGGTCTTTATTTTAATGAAAACAGTTCAGGTTTGGCAGCCCTGTGTGCAGTAGGGCTTATGAATGGTGGGGGCTGTCACTTGTGAATGGTGTGCATTGTATTTTAGCGTGCTTGCAAAAATCTCAGTGTGTTCATATGCACCGGTCTTTTGTGGGTGTTCTCATTGCCAGCCTCGCCCATTTCACTGAAGCATACACTGCGTGAACATACTAGAACTGAAGCCCAGCTTGCCTTCGGCCAAGGTTCACACTGGAACGTTCCCTGGTACCTAGAGTTTGGCACCTCCATGTCCTGTGGCTGGGAAGTTTGCCATGCCCATTTCACACAGCTCGAGGGCCTGCTCATAAGACTGCATATAAGAGAAAACAATGATAGTTCCTCTATTAAAAATAGTTTCTTAAACTCGTAATCTTACCCTGATTGTTCGCCCACAGTCCCCTTTTCCTGAATTCTGCTTCAACGCCACAAGATGGTGCTCTCATAACACCGTATTTTTTAGTTCATTCATTCCTGACTTTTAATATCAAAATGGATCAAACAATGTTGCTGCTTTCGACTCAATATGGGGTGTCCGATTATAAGAATAGGTCCCCAACATCGCGTTAAGCTAGAACAGGCGGCTATCAACGCTTTGCATTTTGGTTGCAGGGACCAAGCACACAGGTCTTGCTTCTCCTCAGCATTTTCTCCAGCGTTGACCTTCCAGCCCCGGGGCGTACTGATCATGCTGTTTGCCTCTAGGTAAGTTCACATTGACATGAAGTTCCAGATCCTCGAAGATGGATGTACAAGCAACCTTTAAGGCCATCGCCACCTCCCCCAGAGGCCTGTGCGGAGCAGGGAGGGTCCTCAAGAGCCCCTCCGGGGAGCGCAGTGCCAGGAACGACAGCCTCCTGCGAGCCTCCCAGCCTCCGGGGAGCAAGGTGCTTCTCAGGTTGGGACTGAGGGGGGGAGAGAAGCGTCAGAAGGCAGCGGTCCCCACCTCTCCTGCCGCCTGAGCAGAGGAGAAGAGTCAGTGTTGGCAACCTCGCTGCACAGTCATCTAGCTGTACCCGTCCGGGTGCATTTAAGGACCGTCGGATTTCAACCACTGGAGTGTATAGTCTGATGGGCAAAGAAATGAGGTCTTGTTCTACCCTGGCTTCAGTTTGGGGGGTGGGGGCAGGGAGTTGCAGGAGCAGCCCTTAGGGGGTGTCTCGAGGAGCCTCACATCCTGAAAATCCCAGCCCTGCAGTGGAGGGGACACCAGGCCTCCTGCTAGCAAGGCATTCCTCAGAAGGGAGTGCACAGCAGCGGCTTGGCACTGGCATGCTGGCAAACCTTTTTATTTTTATTTTATAAGTATATCTTTTTTATTGATTTCAGAGAGAGGGAGGGAGAGGGAGACAGAGAGAGAAACGTCAGTGATGAGGGAGTCATTGACCGGCCGCCTCCTGCACGCCCCCTGCTGGGGATGGAGCCCGCAGCCCGGGCACGGGCCCTGACGGGGAATCGAACCGAGATCTCTTGGTGGGTCCTCAACCACTCAGCCATGCTCGGCCCGGCACTGGCAAAACTTTTTAAATTAAAATTATTTCTAATCAAATTGTAATCTGATGTTTATCCCTTGACATTTTACCTAGAGATTCCTCCGAACTGTCGTCACCCTGGAGGCTTGGCCTGTGCAGTCAGCGTGCGAGGGATCACTGTCATGTTAACCGTCTCGAGTCTTAGTGCTCTTATGTCTTATTCCTGAGAGATTTTCCAGCCATTTTCATGAGTTTGCAAACTTCTGACGAGCCCAGAATGTCAGTAAACTTGGGGCTTTCTCTTCCTAATCACTGCACGTAAGTTCCTTCTCATTCCCTTCTTTGGTTTTCCACCAGAGGGCATCATAAACCCATCCAATACATCATTTGGCACAGGTATTTTTAATATATGATGTTTTGGGGCTTGTTTAAAGTGGTTCTAGTTTCCTTACTCCAAGGTGCTATAGTTAAGAGTAGGGTCTCTTAAGATAAACTTAGTCCAGGTCCCAGGCCTGCTCTCCACCAGCTCTGCGGCCTGGAGATTCCTAATTTCCTCTCTGTGTTCTCACCCCTGTAAAGTGAGAGTAACAACCCGCCTCATAACCTCGAG